GATTTAATTATGATATCAGGATGATCCAGGTATCAAAATGTAGCTTTTAAAGACAGAATCTGAAAATGTAATTAGGTCATTTTGACATGTTGGCTCACATACAGTATTATTTTATGAGCCTTAAACATAAACAGCAAACTATTATAATCAACCAACTCATAAAACTTCACTAATTTTAACTGATAAAATAATGTGTTTTCTGGTGATAATTCTTACAGCTGTCTAATGCAAAATAAAAATAGGGTTTGTGATTGTTTTACATGTTTTTCTGGGTGTGGTTTTGTCTGAATAAAAGGTGAAGTCAGGTGCAGATTTAGATTTATGAGCACCTGTCAGGATGGTGTCAGGGTTCAGACTGCTGCAGACACAACCTGCTGCAAAACCATCTTTTGACTCCTAAATGTTTGTAAAGTTGTTGTTTTTCCATCAGACTGAATAACCTGCTTCATAAATCTGTTGATTAGAAATGAAGGTGTAAAAGTTGTTTACCTGTTTACAGCTGCTGGACTGTGTTTGTTTGTGTTCAGTCAGCTGATTCAGGATGGACTCGTCTTTGAGCGCAGCTCAGATCCGTCAGAAGTTTATCGACTTCTTCATTAGATATGAGCACCAGTACGTCCACTCCTCGTCCACTGTCCCGCTGGACGACCCCACGCTGCTGTTCGCCAACGCCGGCATGAACCAGGTACTGTTTACCTCCACCCACACTGGTCTACGTCACCCAGCCACAGGGTCTTATCTGTTGCACTTCCTGTTTTCAGTTCAAGCCCATCTTCCTGAACACCATCGACCCGTCCCACCCCATGGCCAAGCTGCGGCGTGCGGCCAACACTCAGAAATGCATCCGAGCAGGAGGGAAACACAACGACCTGGACGACGTGGGCAAAGACGTTTATCACCACACCTTCTTTGAGATGCTCGGGTCCTGGTCCTTCGGAGACTATTTCAAGGTTTACATTGTTCTGACAGTTTTCCTCTTTAAACAAACCTTCAAAATGTTTGTTTGTTTGTTTGTTTGTTTGTTTGTTTGTTTGTTTGCTGTGCTAACGGGGGAGTTGTGTTCTTCCTCTGCAGCACCTGGCCTGTAAGATGGCTCTGGAGCTGCTGACGCAGGAGTTTGGCATTTCCATCGATCGACTGTATGTCACCTACTTTGGAGGAAACCCTGAAGCGGGTCTGGAACCGGACCTGGAGTGCAAACAGATCTGGATGGACCTCGGGTGAGTTTGTCTGCAGCTTTGATGTTTCTGCAATAATTACAGCTGAAATCTCCTTGTTGTTCCTTCTGCTCCTGGTCAGGATGTCCAGCAGCTGTTTACACACAGTTTGGGTCGAGCTCCTAACGAGCCTCATCACTTTGTTTTCTCTACAGAGCAGGACTCAGATCTTTACAAACACAAGTCTCCATGCTCTCTGCTGTCTTTAAGTTCTGCTGACTCAGCTGGAACATCACTGATTCCTTAGTTTCTGTTGTTTTGATCCACACTTGTTATTGAAAGCTAATGTTAGCGCTGAACATCAACTGGATGTAAACATACGGCAAGCCAGGAGGGACAAAATCTAGAAACGTGTTTCAGACGCTCACCAGACTCCATGTAGAAGAAACCATCTCATCCTCTGTGAATCCATTTCCTCAAATTTAAATGAAATGGATCCAGATTGATGAAATGGATCCAGATTGATGAAATGGATCCAGATTGATGAAATGGATCCAGATTAATGAAATGGATTAGTTTAGCCAGCTCCAGTCAGTAATCTGTGTCCCGCCTGTGTTGAGCTCAGGGTGGACGAGGTCCGCATCCTGCCGGGGAGCATGAAGGACAACTTCTGGGAGATGGGGGACACCGGTCCCTGCGGCCCCTGCAGTGAGATCCACTACGATCGGATCGGAGGGAGGGACGCCTCTCACCTGGTGAACATGGACGATCCCAACGTGCTGGAGATCTGGAACCTGGTCTTCATCCAGTTCAACAGGTAACCAGGGGGGAGGGGGGGGCTTTCAGTTTGTAAACAAAGACTGAACAGGAACTTCCTGCTCAGAGAGTCGGAGACGGAGCTGAAGCCTCTGCCTAAGAAGAGCATCGACACGGGGATGGGTCTGGAGCGCCTGGTGTCCGTCCTCCAGAACAAGATGTCCAACTATGACACGGACCTGTTCCAGCCCTACTTCCAGGCCATTCAGAAGGTACGGATCCAGGATCTGAAGGACCGGTGGAGCCGGTTTCATGTAGTCGTGTTTAAAGTCAGAGTTACACGTGTTTTTAGTTTATTTTTATTTTCAACAACAGACACTTTTCACAGTCTTCTGTCTGACTGAAACACTGCATCATGAGAAGAGGCAGTGAAAACTCTGACAAATGTCATAATGAACACAAAATAATAAAAACAGAGAAAGAAAAACAAAATAAGAGCAAAACAAACAACGATTACATCCCTCTCTGGTACGGATGCTACCTTTGACATTTCATCGATCTGGTACCTGGGAATCGTACCGTTACTTCACTGTACACTGAATTCAAATATGCTGCAATAAATAATAAACATTATATACATATACAGTATATATA